ATAACTTCACCTGGACAGAGGTATTTTGAAAGAAGGGAATTTCAGTTTTCACATGTTCCATAATTTATACTAGGCTGCATGGTACAATGGAAAAAGCAGTGACTCTGGAGTCCAAGGACTTTTCTTATTAGTATCATACGCTATTCCTGGGTCTCAAATTTTGCATCTATAAAATGAGAGGGTTGGATTAGATTACCTCTGAGGTCCCTTCTAGCTCTAGAACAATAATTTTAGGGGGCGGTTTTTGTTGTTAGTCAAACTAGTTTTGTTTTTTAGTCAAATAGGAACTAATACAAAAGACTTAGTATTACTAGAAGCAGAAGACTTCAATGAATTTTGAAACAATTGAAAGATCTAGAACTATCTTAAATCATCACCTATAAAAATGATTCATCTGTATCACTACTTAAATTCATTGACTTATTCACAATCCCTTGTAAACCAGGTATAAGAGATTAAATAATAAATTCAATTCAACAAACATTAACTACTTGCTATTTACTTTGTATGAGTTTAAATTACAGAGAAGGTATCAATGTGCATAGATAGAGGGAAGTTCCTCATCTGGAAGAGGGAAATCACAGGTTTAGCCCCCCCACACCAAGCTAAGCACTGGAAGAGAAATAAAGTTTACATAAAATACAGTTCCTGTCCTATTGGAATTTACAGTCTAGCTAGGGGATAGAAATCAGAGTTACTTCTGTTATTTTGAGATGAGGATAATAATAAAGGAGGAAAATATTCATTGCTTCATAATCCCTGGAGGTTATAGTTATGAACCTTGACAGAAATTTATCAGTTCTCTGAAAAAAAAAAAGAGGGCAACATATGAATTCTGACTGTATTTGATTTTTTAAAAAATTCTTTTTGGTCTAGACTTGCCACCCTAAAAAACGTGCTTCCTTTTCTCTTTTCCACTATAGTGTTGTTGTTGAGTTGTTCTATTGGTTGTTTTTTACCAATCAATAAAATCTAAGTTATTTTTAGATCTTTCTAAGCCCCATAGACAGCTTACAAAGAAGAATCTGTCTATATTTACCTGATGTGAACCAACCAGAAAAAAACTGGAAAAAATTAACCAACTGTCCAAAATTCGTAGATCTATGAATGCTTAATATTGTAGATATATCCTTTTCTTCTTTCAGAGTATTGGTTTTTAGAGGCATCCTTCCCTTACCATATGTTAAGCTTCATGAAGTTAGAAATGGCATCTCATCACATAATTTGAGTTGGAAGGGTCCTCAACAGTCTTCTAGATAACCAAACCACAAAAGGAGACATTACTAGAACATATCCAACAAATAATCATCCAGCCTGTGCTTAAAAATTTCAAATGAGGACAAAAACCCACTGCTTTCCAAGGCAACCCATTCCCCCTTTTGGATAACATTAATTGTTAGGAAGTTTTCCCAAGCTTAAATTCCCACTTTGTAACATGCACCTTTGTTTCTGGTGCTGCTCTGGGTCCAAATAAAATGATGCTATTGCCTCTTCCACATGAAAGCCATTTAAATACTTGGAGACAGCTAACATCAGAACTCTCACCACCACACCTTGCTTCAGGAGTCTTCTCTTCTCCAGGCTAAATGTTCCCAGTGCCTCCAACCTATCCTCATATAGCATGGGCTCAAGGCCCTTCATTATAGTGGTTGCCTCATCTGGCCACTGGCCACTTTATCAGTGTTGTTAACCTATGTGCCTCAGAACTGAGCACAGTGGGGCAGGTAAGTGGTGCAGTGGATAGAGCACCGGCCTTGGAGTCAGGAGGACCTGAGTTCAAAGCCAGCCTCAGACATTTGACACTTGCTAGCTGTGTGACCCTGGGCAAGTCACAACCCTAATTGCTCCAGAAAAAAAACAAAAACAAAAACTGAACATAGTATATATATATTCCAGATGTTCGCTGAACACATCTAAACTTTTCACTCTCTCTAACGCCTACCTTGATAGTCTATACATAGTAGACCTTAATAAAGGTGATTGAACTCAACATAAGAATACATTCATTATTCAAGGCATTATCTAATCTGGTCTTTCTCCCACCCTCCCACCTCTGGCATCTTAGACTACTTATTTAATAATTTACCTAGACTGTTCTATTAATTTCCAAAATTTCTCTCCCTTTGGGAACCTAGGGAATATTGAATAAACTCCCCTGTAAATCAATGGGTAAATCTATATAAATAATAATAGATAGCATTTATGTAGTGTTTTAAAGTTTGCAAAGTACTTTGCTAATGTCATCTTATTTTATCCTCACAACAGCCCTGTATGATAGGTGCTATTATAACACCCATTTTAGAGATTAGAAAACTAAGACAGGGAAAAAGTGATTTGCCCAAGATAACATGACTAGAAAGTGTCTGAGTCAGAATTAAAACTCAGATATTCACAACTGCAAATCCAAATATTCATTGTGTCATCAGGGACAGGGAGATATTTCTTACTGAAAATTCCAGGAAATTTAGTACTATAACTAAAAAACTCATACAGCTTTTGAAATGACTGTGGACTCCTGGCATTAGAGAATTTAGAGATGGAATCATCCCCTTTTTACAGATGAGAAAATTGCTGCATTTTGAAGAGTCTTGCAGAAATACTTTCATATTTTGACATCAGCCCCAAATCTTTGGCTGGATTCCCCATTTTGAAGGTCAGGAAATAAATTATGACCACAGTGGAGTCATTAATAAATGCATGATATTTTTAGGGAAACCTTTCAAAATGTATCTTGTCAAGCAGAGGTGCCCAACACAAAAAAAAAAAAATAGGGAGCACCAGAGAATCCAAAAGGATCCCCGCAGGCTACATATTATCTGTGTTTTATTGTATTTGTATGTATTTTGTTCATTCTTTTCCAGTTACATTTTAATCTGTTTCAGGCCACACTGGAGAGTGTTTTGGGCCACATGCTGTAGCAAGACACATGTTTGACACCTCTACTGTAGATCATTAAGACAAACAAAACAAAAGATCCCCCAGGGCAGCCTTCCCGAATATTATTTATTCCATTTTTTTAAACTATGTCCTATTTGCAATTGCCCTAAGGCACAATTGCAGACAACTAGCATATTCTGATTGTTGTGACTACTCTTCTGTGGATTGTCTTAAATACAAATATGTTTTTGGTGCTGGCTTCATCAATTCTTGTTTCTGCAGACCAGATAAATATATGATCAGAAAAAATTTTCCTCTATTACACTGTGGGTTTATTGATGGATTCATGAACTACATCAGACCCTTAACCATGCCATTTAGTCTATTTTGGAAGTAGTCTCCAAAGAGGGCCATGAGGGGCCCCAAAATAAATGCACAGAAAGGGCTTGTTTCTCCCAGTAAGTCACTCATAGGGAAAATCTAGTGGAATTAGGCCTATTTCCCTAAAACTGACAAGGAAAAGCATCAGACTAGGCCCCACAGAACATGTACTTTTATTATTAAGTCTAAAGATAGGAAGTTATCTTACCCTACTTCTAATCTACCCCTGCAGTGGAGGATAGTTTCAGATTATCACTTGTTCTCTAGAAGTTCTTTCTCTAGGACAAGGTTCTTAACCTGCACTCTACTCTGTCAAATTTTTTTGTTTGTTTTTAATATTCTAATAACTATATTTCAATATAATTTATTTTCTTCGTATCCCCATGTATTTTATCTAATGCATTTAGAAACATTATTTGGAAGAGTCAGATTGATATGGTTTTTTTAAGGATTTTCAAAGCAATTTTCTCACAATAATCATATAAGTTTGTAGATGAGGAAGCAGCTCCAAGAGGGAAAGGTAACTAACTACTTATTGGACTGTTGTTGTTGAGTCATGCCCAACTGTCTGTGACCCCATTTGGAGTTTTCCTGGCAAAGATATACGAATTGTTTGCCATTTCCTTCTCTAGCTCATTTTACAGATGAGAAAACTGAGGTAAACAGAGTTAAGTGACTTGGCCAGTCACACAGCTGGTAGCGTTTGAGGCCAGGTTTGGACTGAGGAAGATGAATCTTCCTGACTCCAGGCCTAGCACACTATCCATTGCACCACCAAACTCATTGGACACCTAACTAGAGCCAGGATTTGAAAGCTGAATCTGCATCAAAACCCAAAGGAAAGATCTCTGGCAATAGAAACAAAGGATATGAGTTCAAATCTATCCTGATACTACCTGTATGACCTTGGGCAAGCCACTCATTCTCTCTGGGCCTCAGTTCCCTTATCAATAAACTAGATGACCTCTGAAGCCCCTTCTAGCTATACATCTATGAGCCTGTTATTCTGAATCCAGTACTCTTTCTACTACGATTTCTATTACCGTTGTCTCTAAATACCTGCTAGAGGGCATGCTGTGAGTCAAATGATTTATCCTTAAACATGGAAGGAGAGTGCAATTAAAATGATCATATGCTTCTATCCGGTGATATTTTTTGACTTCATCTCTACAGTAGGAATATCCTTTGACAGTGTGAACAGTAAGAATTAGCACCACTTTCTTCACATACAGCAGGTTACTAAGCCCTAAAGGCAGAAAGGATATTTTCTTTCTGAGGATCCTCTACACAGAGAGTGGAAAGAAAAAAAAAAACTTTAAATCTCCCTCCTATAGGAGGATCATAGATATATCTCATTTCTTACAATATTTCAAATTCTGGTGGAGATTCTGCCAAACTGGATAGTAAATTTCCTGTCCAGGACATACATATTGTTTTTAACAGTAGGAATCAATCTGCCCTTTGGCAAGCCGATGGTCAGACAGAAGAATTGTTAGTGCTGAGCCAGAGACAACCATGTTGATAGCTGCAAAGTTCTCAGTTCTTATCTCCATGGACTGACTATCTGGCAAACTATAAATCTCCCTAGGAGAGAAGAAAGCCTAAGAATTCATGTATTTACATTAAGGTGTCATGATAAAGTGAGCATTAGATCATAAGATTTAAGCTTTTGTTCACTTCATGCTTAAGTCACTATATGAAGGCAAAAAAAAAAAATCAATATTTTGTCATCCTTTTCACAGGTTCAAGATGCATTTAGATGTCGGCTAAGAAACTGCCAAGATCCAATCAATGCAGACTCCTCAAGTTCTTTCCCCAATGGACATGCCCAAATCATGGTGAGTTTTTACTTTGTCCTTAAAACTGTCATTAGGTAATAATTTTTTAAAGAGAAAAAACAAATGTCCTTAATAGTAATAATGATAATAGTAATAATAATAGGAAAGACCAAATGAGTGAGTTAATTTTTGGCTCATTAATCTTTACTTGAAGAATGTTATAATATTCATATTTTATTAAATGTCTATACTAGGATTCCAGGGTTGCAAATGTTTAGATGCTGCTCTTTTATTACCCTCCCTGCTCCCACTTAGCAATCTGAAGGAGGTGATTGCTTTTTGGAAGGAACAACTGGATTAAACTTTTAAGGAAGACTCTGGTGTTTATTTAGAACAGAGAATGTGATGGGTAGTACATTTTTTGCTGTCTTCAACACTTAATGGGGTGACATCCTTCCAAAGAAAGAACAACTAGGGAATTGTAGAGATGGTAACAATACTTGTTGAATGAAGGCATATTTAATTATAACCACTTGTATTTGCCTTGACATCCTATTTAGAAATCAGATGAGATGGATACTCTAGGTTTTTAAATGGCTAATATTTCATAGATTCTCAGAGCCTCTTTGTTTCACTTCAGTCCATATCAAAGAGGCCAAGTTAGACACCATTAACTAAAATATGGGAAGAGTCAATACTTAGAAAAATTATGTGCCCATACACATACAAGTTTTTAGCTTTAGAAAATTCAAAGATGACATTGAATAGCATGGGGCCACGTTAATCACTTTGGCTTTTTTTTCCCTTCAAATTAAGCTATCAAAATAATAATTGGGGTTTTTATTTGCAGTTATTTTTAATTACAGGGAAAATATAAAGATTGGACTAAAATACAATGAGGGGTTTTTTTTACCAGATTTGTGCTTATTTAAGTATAATAGATGATCCTGACATTTTTAAAATATAAAGTTTAACGATTAAGCTAGAGACCCTTTCTTGTTGCTTGGGAATGAAGATAATTTGAAGAGATATTTTGATTACAAAGAGAGGCAACCTTGGCTTCATTACAAGAAATAGAACCATAAACAATATATTTGATGTTGCCATTTAAAATAAAATACAAAGTCTATTTTAAGACATTTATATTAATGTGATTTGCAAGTATTTCTCATTTTTTGCTGTTTATAAAATGTCCCTAACATTCTTTCTTTAAAATCATACTCAGGGGCAGCCAGGTGGTGCAGTGGATAGAGCACCAGCCCTCAAGTCAGGAGGACCTGAGTTCAAATCCGGCCTCAGACCAAATACTTGACACTTACTAGCTGTGTGACCCTGGGCAAGTCACTTAACCCCAATTGCCTTAAATAAAATAAAATAAAATAAAGTAAAGTAAAATCATACTCATATTTAATATGGTGGTCAACATCCTCAATAAAGAAGTCACTATGTATTATGTTATCTTATTTAAAATGTCATGCCATCTCCAGTCATTTTTATTTAATAATTTGTGTCTAGACAGTATTCTTGAAAACAATCTAATTATTAACAAAATATTCTCTTTTTGCACAAATATTCTCTCTTTTGCACAAAGAAAAAAAATCTGCCTAATCAGATATCTGAAAATTTCAGATTATCTGGGCAGTGAAAATGGAGTTCTCACTAAGTGATCATTGTTATGTCTTATTATTTGTTGTTACAGACAGATTTTGAAAAGGATGTGGACATTGCTTGCCGTTCAGGTAAGAATCTTTGGATGCTACAGTTGTTATTTCTGGTATTAAAAAAAAGTCAGGAAGTTTCATCTAATACAAACATAATTTCTATTCATGTTTATTTCATACGTTTAATTACATAAATAAATGTCTTTAAAATGTTTATTTAGAATTAGAGCATCTTAGCTTTAGTAGGGAACTTAGAAGTCAATCTCCTTCCTAGTGTCATTAAAAGATTCCTTCTATATGATCCTTAAGAGCTGTCTCTGAATTCTTCAAGCCATGAAGCATCCATTGCTTTTTTCCATTGACAAACAACAATAATAGTTAGGAAATTCCATCTCCCTGCAACTTTCACTCAATACTCATAGTTCTGTTCTTGGAGCAATAATGTCTATTCCCTGTTGCATATGACATACCACCAAATACATGTCTTGCTAAGTCTTCCCTTTGCTTTTGCTTTTATACTGTTTATGACACCATTTCTAGACTGCTTTACCATTGCTGGTTGCCCTTCTCTAGATGCTCTCTATTGTATCCAAAATGCAGTACTTATTGGCATGTAAGTTTTGAAGACCACATTTGAATCATTGTCAAAAACTGAGCTAAATATGTGCCATGGTCTTGCAGCATTTATCATTTTCTCTATAACCTCAGTATCCTGAAACATGATATGGGTAGATTTTCAAATCTGAGTGCATTTAAGGTAGTGAGGTATTCTTTTCCTTGCCTAATAGGAGATTAATATTTTTGTCCACAGAAACTCACTAAACTATATTCTAAGATTTGGAAGCGTTTAAACCTCAATAAATAGTTCATCTTTATTAAGTACCTACTTTTTGACAGGTATTATGCTAGATTCTGGGAATATGAGTAAAAAGAATGAAGGAATATCCCCTCTAAAGGACCTTATATTTGTTATAACAGAGAGACAATAAATACATAAGTATACAGAATGAATTTAAAGATAAGAAATACAAATAATGGAAGGTCTTTGTGGAAGTTTATACTAACAGTTGGGGGACTGTGATCAGGAAAGGCTTCATGCAGAAGATGATCTTTGAGCTGCGTCTTAAAGAAAAAGAGGGCTTTTATGAGGCAGAGGATTGCATTCTAGGCATGGGGAATAGTCAATACTAAGGCATGGAGACGAGATATAAGAATGTTATGTGTGAGGAACAAGGCTAGTTGGACTGGATGGGGAATAATGCACAGTGATGCTGAAAGGTTAGGTTGGAGCTAGGTTATGAGGGTCTTTAGAAACTAAACAGTTGATATTCCTTCCCAAAGTGAATAGAGAACCACTAGAATTTACAGAATAGGAAACTGACATGATCAGATTTGTGCTTATGGAAAATCATTTTGGTAGCTATACAGAGGATACGACAGAGTGGGGGGGGAACTTGGAACAGTAAGACAAGTTAGGAGGCTGTTGCAATTATCTAAGGAAGAGGTGATGAAAGCAGCACTGCAATTTAGGGGAAAGATTGGGTGCAAAAGTGTAGATCTGTGAATCATCTGCACAGAAAATCCATGGAAGCTAATGAGGTCACAGAAAGAGAGAATATAGAGATGGGGGCTAGGAGAGAGTTATGATGCATGTTAAAGTATGTGATATGGATGATGAGCCAACAAAGGAGACTGAAAATGAGCTATCAAAGAGTTAGGAGGAGAACCAGGAGAAAGCAATGTCACAAAAGCTCAGAAAAAAGAGAATATCTAGGAGAAGAGTGTTATCAGTAGTGTCGAATGTAACATAGAGGTCAAGAAGGATGTGGACTGAGACAATACCAACAGATTTGGTAATTAAGAGATGTTTGATAACTTTGGAGTGGGCAGCTTAATTTAATGGTGAGGCCACACTGCAAGAGAGGACAGGAAGTGGAGCAAATTAGTTTAGACAATTTTTCCTAGGAACTTGGCTGAGAAAGAGAGGAAAGACATAGGATGAGAGCTTGATGGGACGGTAGTAGCTAGCAAAAGTTCTGAAATTTGGGGGCCCCTTGAAAACTGTAGGGAAATAACCAGTAGAAAGTGAGAGATCAAAGATTAGAGAGAGAAAGGGTATAATTGAGAGGTCAGTCTCCTGGAGAAAATGAGGGTATTGGGGAGGAGAAAAGGAGACAGTCAAGAGTGCCATAGAAGGCTCAGGGAATGAAATCATCAGCAGACTGGAGGCCTGGTAACAGAAGAAGAAAAAGGAGGAGGAGAAGCACATATATCGCCTAAGGTTTGAATGATACTTTGCATTCATAATCTGATTTGAGCCTCACCACACACCTGTATAGAAGCTTTAATAAGGAGAATGGTGACCTCCCCATCAGAGACTGGGGGGAAGTAGCAGATAGAGATGATCTGGAGAAAGGGGAAATTGGGAATTCACATAAAATGGCCTCAATTTTCCCAATAAAGTAAAGCAGCAAGTTCTTTGATAGAGTGAGAGAGGGGAAAGATGTAAGAGACTTGAGGAAAGAAGAAAAGGTTGGAATAGCTTCTAAGGGTAGCAAAATAAGGAATCAATTAAGGAAGAATAAAAGTCTGCCTTGCTGCAGTCAAAGTCAAGTTGAAATTAGATTACTTGAATTTATAGTGGACACAGTCAGCATGGTTTTGTGACTTCCTCCAGCTCTGTTCAGTAGCATGAGAGTAGGAATAGAGGAAGTAGAAGGCTGGAAAAATCCATGGCTAAGAATTGGCAAGGGATGAAAATAGTTGTAGGGCAAGGGGTTTGAGCATTGATGGCTGTGTGGAGTTGAAGTGTTGAGATTGGGGAAGGAAGAAAGTTAAGTCAGTGTGATTATGGCCTGAAAATGTAATGAAGATTGAAGATCATTATGAAAGTGTAGAATATGTATAGAAGGGCTGAGGAAGAGTGTTATAATGAAATGATAGGAAGCTATAGTCAGATTAATGTCAGAGTTTTTATTAAGAAACTGAAACACTTAAGAGTAATGGTAGATTTAAGAAAGATTCTGAGCCAGTCCTTGACCTATACTCCTTAAAAAAGGAGGATGCATGACCAGGATCTGGTAAACAGGAGCCTACATTATTAGAAAAAGGGAATAATTTTTGATGTTATAGACTTTGTCATAATAACAGTGCTAAGTCATGGTGGCAAAGAGAGTGTTTGGAAGAAGCAAGGTAGAGCAAAGAGTATTCCAATTCTCTCCCCCTTCCTCCAGGACCAATATATTGGAAGGCATGTATGTGATGGAAAATATGGTCAGAGTTGCAGTGTTATCTGAGGTAGCCAGGTCTCACTGAAGGCAAATGGATGGGAAGATGTGAGAAAAAGAGATACAGGATGCAGAGAAGTTTATTCACTATGGAAAATTAGGGAAATTCTAGAGGGCATAGTGAAAGCCATTGGCAGAGTTGGAGTAGGGAAATAGGTGGGGTATGGTTGAGAAAGGTAAGTAAGAGAGAATGGGAGGTGTGCAATGGGGATAGTTGGTAACTAAGTGGCCAGTGATTAATACAGGGATAGTGAAAGAAATAGGTAATGGATATATCCCCACTGGTGAAATCACAGATCTTTTGAGGCATTTCAGCAAGGTATTCTTTTGCTATTACATCTCATATCTTGAGCTTTAATTCCTATCATTTTCTTCTCACATATATGTAACTAGATCAGTATGTACTGGATCTTCAACTGGAAGTCCCATTGATATCTTGAACTTGGTATGTCCAAAACTAAAAAGACTAAATATGAAGTCCTCTGTTTGGCACGTAAAGGTCTTCATAACCTGGCTCACTGTACCTTCCCAGTCTTCTTACACTTCCCTTCCCCCCCATATACCCTATAATCTAGCAAGATTTGTTCCTTGAATAGGATACTCTATCTCCCATCCCTTTGCCTTTGCACTGGCTGTCCCCTGTGCCTGGAATCATCCCCTTACCCCAGGTCTGCCTCCTTGTTTTCCCTGGCTTCAAGACTCAGCCCAAATCCCTTCTTCAGGAATCCTTTCCAAGTTCCTCTAGTTACTAGTGCCTTTCCCCTTCCTATTACTTTCTATCTACCATACATACTATCTAGATATCTTGTATATACCTGGGCAGTGAGAACAATTTTCTAACACTTCCTCTATGCAAGTTAAGCTAGTTTTTCCTTAAAAGGTATTCTAATCAACCTCAAAACTTGATTGACTCAAGGGATTTAAGGTTTAGGCTGCTGGCATCACTTCATAGTCTCTTGAGTACAAAATATCCATGAGAAGCTCAAGGCTTCTCTAAAGCTTGGCTAGTGGACCATGGTGGGAAACTCAGACAAGGGATATTTACTCAGCAGAATCATCTCAAAATGTTTCTAAATGCACATCCTTGCTCACTATAGCATGTTATCCTTCTGCTATAGCTAAATAAATTATTTTTTTATTGACTGTTTAATGACTTGCAACCATTTCAGTTTGTTCTAATATCAAACATAAACCACCAGGGTCCAATTCCAAGTCAGGCCAAACTCAGAAAATCCTAATTATTTACATGTTGTCTCTCTCTTAAAAATGTAAATCCCCTAAGGACTGAGAGTGTTCTGTCTTTTTTTTTTATATCCCCATCACTTAATAGAATGTCTGGCAATAATAAATACTTGATAAATGCTTCTTGATTGACCATATATGTAGGTATATATAAAATGTTTATATATGTGTGTGTGTGTGTGTGTGTGTGTATACACACATACACATATTTATATACAAACACATAAATATACTTTTAAAGAAAATCTAAATAGTTGATATGCCTCTCATATATGGGAAAAGTTAGCCTTATGGTTGCCTTCACCTGAATTTTTTGAAAGTACAGAATGACTTAATTTTAAAAGTATAGATGGCAGTAGAAGATTGACTCTATGAATGAAAAAATAGAGGCTTAGAGAGATTAAGAGACTTGCCCAAGGTTATGCAAGTAGTAACAGATCCAGGTTTTGAGCCCAGGTCCTCTCAGATCCTTGGGCATTCCCTCCAAGACTAATTTCTATCAATTCTGTATGCATCTTCTATTTGCCTATTAATATACATGTTGTCTCTCCCACTAGAATATAATTTCCTTGCGGGCAAGGACTATTTTGGTTTTTTTCTTTGTATTACCAGTACTTACCATAGTGCCTGGTACGTGGTAATGGCTTAATGAATTATTATTCATTGTCTGAATCTGATTCCAAATCCATTGTTCTTTCCATTCTATCACCCTAGATAGTAACAATTATAAATTCATTATTATTGATGTCCATCACTCTTCTACAAATTCCACCTCTCTAGATTCTTGCCTTATTTTTGTATGTAACTAATAGTTTAAAATTTTTTAAGTGTTCTGTGAGATCTGAAAGCTTTAAAAATTATTTTTTATTTTCATGAAATTTATTAGCTATATAATCATTACCCAAACATAATTGCTCATTAACTACCATTCATTTCTAGTGCTTTATTTTAAAAGACACAGAAATAGATTTTTTAAATCCAAGTTCATTTTACCTCCTGCAGAGGATTAAAATGGAAACCCAAATGAAATGGGGGCTAATTTTAAAATGTTTGATGTGCATATGATAAGATTTCAGTATCTAAAATTACAAAATCTAATGAAATAGCTGCAAACTTTCTTTCTGATGGAAAGGTGCAAGATGAATGATACAAGCTTAAACTTATATTGAAGGCTTTTTTATAATAAGTACCAATTTGCAAAAGGGGCAAATACTCAAAAACTTTACCTATGTTTTAGTACATAGAAAGTAATTCTTTTATTTGATAATTGGAAGAGGAACGTAATACATGTGAAAGCCTTTATGAGGAGACAACATAACAGTGAATTTCATAGTATATAAACCAAAATGAATGTTACCAGATTGTCTCCATTTTGGAGAGACTGAAAGGTCAGGTCTGTGGGATTGTGTTGAACAGAGGTGAAAGGAGATGATGGTTATTTGGGATAGAGGAAGTTATATCACTACTGTCATACTTATGCCTACAGAGCACTTCAAAACAGATCATTGAGCACAACCAACCATGAGTTAGAGCACTTCCTTCTTTAAAATAGCATGTCTTTCTTTTAAAGTAGAGTCAATGTACCCCTGGAGCTGACAGTAATTTCAATTGGAAAATGCCTAATTTAAGGGGGGAGGGCCCTACCCATTTGTTCTCCATTTTTAGATCCTGGTAAGGCCTCTATTTCTTAATAACCCAAAGCTTATGAAAGAAAAGTGAGTCACAGAGGCTTAAATTATTTTATCTATTTAAACTCAGTTGGTGATTTTCATATACATCCTGGGGAATTAGAGTACCAGAACTGGTTATGTTAAAAAAAAAAAACCTTGTATTTAAAGCTAAATATGATAAATACTTCTGTTCCCTGTACCCACTTGACCAGATGGACTTTAATGGATAACTGCTCATTAATTTTCAGTGATACAACTTTTATTGGATTCTTCAGGTGAAACAAGATAGGAATTACTGTCATAAATACATTCATTCCTAATTATCTCTATTCAAAAGATAATTTAGTAATGATTACTAGTTATAGAGCATTTGTAGAGAAAAACAATGAACATTTTAAAAAGCATGAACTAGTTCATAATTCCACAAAAGATTTGCAGGGTGGGTAGATGAGAAATCTAACTTACACTCTTTTTTTTCCTAAGAGGTTATACATTGAGTTACTCACATGTTACTGTATGCTGCAATTTTTAAGGCTATTGTTCAGATTTTCAGAAAGCAAGTTTCTACTTAAAGTTATGGTGTACCAGAGTTAATGTAGTATATTGATATAAAGAGTAGAAGTTTCATCTTTATAGGAAATTGCAAAGATAATTTATAAACATATAAAAACATAGTTTTAAAGGAGCACTTTAGTGTTATTAAAGAATATCTCAATATTTCAAAAGATCCATGACTTCATCAGGGTGTATTCATTCTCTCTACCAATACAAATCTTTACCTGTCCCCACTTTTAGTAGATATTATAATGAACTATGTGGTCTAAAAAAAAATCATCACTTCATGGCCAACATCCTGGTTGATAAAACCCCCTACACTTAAATGGGTTCTTCCTCAGAGGACAGCTTACACTGAAAGACTTCCCATTTTGACAAAACCATCCTGTATGCCATGTTAAAGTAGTGAAATAGGACTTCAGTGCAGGTTGTTAAGGAAAGGAAATCAAAATAAAATAGCCAAAGAGAAAAACAAAGGAGGACACTAACGAAAAAACAAATGACTTTAAAAGTACAGTGCCTTTCATTTCCAAAAATGCTGTCTTCTAATTACAGTTCTTCATAAGGATATTGGGCCTTGCCGGGCAGCTACAATAACAGGAACATTATCTCGGATTTCTCTGAATGATGATGAAGAAGAAAAGGCAACAAATCCTGAGGGCCTGAGCTACTCAACTTTGCCTGGGAACATCATTTCCAAAGTCATCATCCAGCAGCCTACAGGTCTGCATATGCCAATGAGCATGAATGAGTTGGCTAATCAGTGTCTGAAAAAAGATAACAGTGAGTTACGGCGAACTGTGTACTTATGCACTGATGATAATTTGAGAGGGGCAGATATGGACATAGTACATCCTCAAGAAAGAATGATGGAAAGTGACTATATAGTGATGCCCAGAAGCTCTGTTAATGCCCAATCAGCATTGAAAGAGGAGAGTAAACTGAATATTGGCATGGAAACCTTGCCTCATGAAAGGCTGTTGCACTACAAAGTCAATCCTGAATTTAACATGAATCCTCCTGTCATGGATCAGTTCAGTATGAATTTAGATCAGCACCTTGCACCCCAGGAGCATATGCAGAATTTGCCATTTGAGCCTCGCACAGCTGTAAAGAACTTCATGGCCTCTGAGCTGGATGACAATGCAGGACTAGCAAGAAGTGAAACTGGGTCAACGATATCCATGAGCTCCTTAGAGGTCAGTGATATGGAAATTGTTCCTTGATGTTTGACCCTCATTCTTGGCTTCTATGGTCCCTCCCTTTAAAATGTCACTATTTGGAAAAAGCTACATTTTTTAAAAATCACATGTGACTCCTAACAGTGTTATATTTACTTTGTGTGTGTGTGTGTGTGTGTATGTATGTGTGTGCATGCATACATGTGGAAAAAGTTGGAGAGTAGGAATATTATATGAATTGGTTAGTAGACATGATTTAATCCAAAGTGTTTTGTAATCACCTTATTAATGAATCATAATGAAAATGAGCTTTATTAGATTTTAAATTGTTTAATTGTGGTTAATAATAATATGTCTGTCTTAATGAAAGCCAACACCAAGCTCTCAGGTTATTCAATCAGCATCAAGTTTTGAGCCTCAGGGCTTCAGTAGAAATCCCAACCAAGTTAATGTCTTCCTTCCTGATCTCTCTGAAGTAACAAAGGCCCCTAAGATAGGTAAATTAATTGTTGGATTATTCCCTTAAAGTAAAATCAAAATCTAAGTTTCCTACACAATCATAAGTAGCTAAATCAGAATAGTTTTGTTATCATTTAACATAATAAAAAGTATTTTCTGTTTTCTCAGAGGAAATAGAGTTCTCTGAATTTCCATAAAGGGTAACTTTTAAAGTATTTTATACTGAATTCTGGGATGCCTGTCAGGGAGTAAATCAAGTAAGCTAAGAATTATGAAAGACCAAGCCCATTTCCACTCTTGTTTTATAAAACAAGGCATTTCAGAGGATAATCAGTAAAATTTTCTGAGTCTTACTTAACCATAAAATGAAGACAAGCATAGTAAACAACTATTTACATCAGCTGTTGAGTCAGAATTAATCACTTATTAACATATGAAAAATATTTAATGTATTACTGTAGCCACATAACTTCCTAAATTTATTTGTAATCATTTATTTTTTTACTCTTTAACTTTTTTAAAATCATCCTGCAACGTTCATTCAAGTTTTTGTCTTACCCTATCTGTGCTGCAGAGATCTGTCTGTTTGTAGTAAAGGAGCAAAATTAGCAATCACTTTTCCTGATGCCTCAAAAGTCATAGATTGCAAGCATTTGCTCAGGAGTCATACTTTATTCTGGCTCAATCTAGTGGGCCTAAAGTCTAATTGAGGAGTGTCGCTAAAGAGAAGTTGTCTCTAAACCATCTCTAAAGACAGTTTATCTGTCTTCTATCTGGTAATGTACTTGTAAGATATTCCCTGGTACCTACCTTCAACCTTTGTTCATTCATTCCCAGAATAAAACAGTTTTCCAGGAATAACCCAGAGTATAAGCTGCCTGCTCAGGGTTCCTCCAGGGCTAGTTAGGACAGAAGCATTAGAACTGAGGGTGAGTCACACCCAGAGGATGGTAAGATATCCATTAGAATAATCTCTCTGTGGTACCAGCTTTACTATAGGATTTCTTTTCCTGGTTGTTTTAATATCATAGACCACTAATAGCCCTGAGTAACTCTTTTCAAAACTGTAACTTACATAATAAAAACTGGACCAATCACATGGTGAGAGCAAGGGAGAACAGATAGACAGCCTAAGTGTTTCATTGATATCCTTGCAATTTCAGGAGAAAGCAAAGAAGGCCTATAGCCCATGGAGGGGAACCCTGTGGCACACTTAAGGAAGGGCATGGAAAATAGCCACACAGGATAGGCAGGCTTAGATGGGTTGTAACCTGCATCTGTGTAGAAAACATCCAAAAAGATGAGATCACAGATTTGTAGACCCTACGTGAAAAGTGACCTAGCAAGTCAAATCAATAAGCATTTATTCATCCTTCAATGAAGCAACTGTGTAGTGCTTTGTATAGAGTGCTGGGCTTGGAGTCAGGAAGACCTGAGTTCAAATCCAGCCTTAGCTACTGTGTGCCCCTTACTTAATATCTATTTGCCTCAGTTTCCTCATATGTACACTTATACCAGTATATCCCTGTCAGAGTTGCTGTGAGAATCAAATGAATTATTTGTAAAGTACTTAACATAGTGCCTGGCACATAGTAGGTGCTATATAAATGCTAATTCCCTTCCCATCCCCCCCCCACTTACTATGTGCCAAGCACTGTGCTAAGTGCAGGGAATACAATAAAAGCAAAAAGAAAGACAGTGCCTGCCCTCTAGTAGCTTACATTCTAATGGAAGAAAATAACATCTAAAAGGAAGCCAACATGGGGAGGGTAGACTATATCAGATCAGGGGCATGGTAGAGAAAGTCAGGAGCCAAACCTAGAGAGAAACAGCAGATATACTTTCCCTACCATTCTCTTACCATTCTATTCAATTAAGTGGGCAATAATGATCACAAAATCAAAAATAGTACATTGGTTCAACAAATTTCATCAATGGCAGAGAGATCAAAAATAATTCAAATAATCTCTGAGAATTTTTTTGAATATTCAAAAAGTTCTCTAAAATGTATTCCATTCAAAGAGTATCAAAATGGCTTGAATGTAATCACATCTAATTATTTTCGTTGAAAAAAAATTTATCACATGTAAAAATCTAAAAGTTTTGCTAGATGTAATACAGTACACATTGTGTATGTCTGATCAATGGACTGTACTTCCAACTATTGTAACATGCAGTAACATTCCATAACCTTAGTACAGAATAGTAACACCACATTCAATGTATCATTCAGCTCGGTCTCCTCAAAAAAAAAAAAGCTGCATTTAAATACCTTTGGAATCATGAGGCATATGTCCTGAAAGGAAGAATACTCAGCATTCAGACTGAAATATCAGTTCTCCATATTCCTTTTTAAAAACATTTAATAGTTAATTAGTGCTTTGGGTGATCAATTTATGAGGTAGCTAAAATAAAATGTATAGATGTGGGAATGAATTATAAAAATTAGCATTTATATAATGCCTTTCATTAGAAGATCCTCAAATCACCTTAAAAACATGAATTCATTTATCTTCACTTACCCCTCTGTGTGACCAGTTGTAATCCGAGAAGTAAAGTGACTACTTCAAGGTGACAGAGTGAGTGTATAACAAAGTCAGAAATGGAAACTTTCTCCCCTGAGTGGGAGGAATATCAATGAGTCTCCACATTAATAAAATTATTCTTGAACTTGAAAATTCATTTTTGCCTTGTGTAGCCTTAGACTAGTAAATATCGTGACCTGAGAACTAGGAACATACTGCTGTCAGAGCATCAGTTGGTCCATCCACATAAAGTAATTAACCTTTTCTAGGAACCTGAGTGGCTGGGAATTTGGATCAATTACTCTCAATTATCTATCAGAATTTACAAATTTACATATCAGAAGTGAATTAAGTTGATTTGATTTGATAAGAAAGGGGGACCAAAATGAAGGCTTTATGAAAAAATATATAGTTCTAAATCTAGAAAGAAAAGCATGCTGGCAAATATATTCTACAAATATAATGTCAGTGGGGGGAAAAAGATTATTTATGCTGGGTGTTTTAGCAAGTGATACATTTTAAAAGGTGTTCAAAGAAGAGGAAAATGGGACAAAAAGAATCCAAGTAGGGGGTGGAACCTGGTCGAAATGTATCACTCCATCCCCTCCTCATTCCACTAGCTTCCAGCTACAAATCTCAGGAGTCCCTCTGACAGCTTGGTTTGTTGGTCTATTGAAGCAGCTGAGCCCAACCCAGTTCTATTATAGTCTTAAATCTTTGTAACACCTGATGTTAAACATTTGTATTTTGAATTGCAGATACCCAGAAACATCTCTCTCATTTATAATACTATTGCTGGGAAACTAAATGCCCTTGATAATATCATTTTGCATAAAGCATATATATAATATATGTAATATATATATATATAATATATATATATCATGTCTATATATATATCAATCATGTCTATATATATATGTATATATATATATAGATATAGATATAGATATATGTCTATATCTATATATATACACATATATATATACATACATATATATATATATATATATATATATCTCATGTCAGTGGTGCTGTGCCTTTTGTACTGAAATGAATTTTTTAAAAAAGTGACAAAACATGGAAATTTATAGTGTGGAAAAAAGACTCCCCCCCAAAAAAAGAAAAAAGAAAACATAGAAAAATAGAAGCCAGAGGATCGAAAGCCTTTAAAAGGGCAGTTCAAGAACCCTCTTAGTAACAGGTTTTGAATCGAGGGGGGTAGGGGAAGCTTAGGAAAAAATGAACAAAGGTGAAATGAAAGAATAACTTCTTAGAAAAGCTGGTGTTTATATAGTTCCCCATGGTAAAAAAAAAAGGGGGCGGGGCTCAATGATACAATCTAAGTGGACGAGATTAATGATGGCTTAGTGAGAGGCTAGCATTAGGGAGGAAGATGTTGTTTATTGTAGGCAGGGTGTTTAGGCTGTGGTTTGAGAAGGATGGTGATGAGCTGGTGAGACATTTTGAGTGACAATTATGCTAGAGATTAAAACAATCTTATGTAGATTTACAATCTAGTAGTCTCATTAGAGGAACAATTTCAGTTCCATTCAACAGTAAGAGGTGGCATGGAATAGTGGATAGGATAATGAATTGGTCTCCAAGACAGTACAACCTACATTCAAGTCCTCCCCCGGAACCTCTGGGCAAGTCACCCATGTTCACAGTGCAACTCTTTAAGAATATAAGTTCCAGAGAAGATTACATTGTTAAGAGAAGTTTCTTCGCCTAGTACTTCCCTATGCCAATGAAATCACAGATCTAATACCTCACTATAACATTTATAAAGTGTCTTACTATATGCAGAGCACTGTCCTCAGTGCTGAGGGAGATAAAAATTTAGTCCTTCATCGTACAGAGCATCCTACAAACGTAGACCAATTTTGCTCTGTGTGAAAATATCAGGGATATTTTTTTTTCTTAGTGAATAACTTGTATTTTATTGGTGAATAGCTGATATATGATTAGAGATAAAAAGTCATCAGAGTGGAGGAGAGTTCAGAGTCTTTTGATTAATATTTTAGGTCATCC